AGGAAAAGGTGGAAGAAGCAAATGGAGGCGGAGCCGAAAGAGGAGCGATGCAGGTGAGGCCAGGCTAAGGGAGGCGCCAAAGTATGAAAGTGGGAGGGGCCAGATAAGGAGCGCTAGATTGGAGCGTGGACCTTAAGGAGTTGACATGCTTAGCAAAGGCTATATGGAAAAAGACATTTTTTTCATTCAGGACTGGAGACCACTGATTTTGTTTGAAATTTTAACATTCACTCTTTACTTATCAAGTACTTTTAAGTGATTGATCACTGTCAGGCCGGTGGCCAGGCTCTGCAAGGGCCACAAAGCAGATATTAACAGCTCTGGCTGTCCTCACACACTATTGTGAACTGAAGTTATGTTAACGATTCTACATTGCTGATTGACAAGTCAAAACTGCGTGATTGTGACGAGTTGGAATGTTGCAAAACCAGAACCAAATTGCCTTGGGCTATGTTTAGTCCCTTTAGTAACCCTAAGTGTTATCCATCCTTGTGTCTAACCTAACATCAACATGACTAAATTAAACCTAATTAATATTTATAGAAACCTTCTGCACCACTGGCATGTGTGAAAGCCTGAATTCACTTCCCAGTGCCATAAACAAGGGGATTAGGCTGGCCTTGAACTCACAGAGATCCACCTACATTTGCCTCTCAAGTGCTGGGATTAAAGGCATTCGCCACCATGTCTGGCAAGAAGGGAATTCTCTAGCTCTGTGGGAACAGCACCATGCTGGTACCAAAACCAGATGGACATCAGGAGAAAAAGAATAATCTTAGATAATATACCTTACAAATGTACATGAAAAGCCTGAACAAAATCCTAACTCTAACAAATATAGAGTTAGGTGCACTCTTACATATTTAAAATACTCATCATGACCAAGTGAGACTAATTTAGATGTGAAAAGTTGGTGAAAACAAAACCAAAAAAAAAATCATGTTAATAAATTGATGGGGAAAAAAAAACACACCATCATCTCCACTGATAGAGACAAGGTTTTGGGAGAGACACCTAGCACCATTGCATGATAAAAAATATTCATAAAACTAGGATTATAGGGACATTCCTTAATTTGATAAAGGAACTTGTGGGGACACCCCAGTTAACATCGGAGTCAGAGGTGAAAGACTGAAAATTCAGTAAGCCATAACTTCATATTTACCATGACAGATATGGCCAATTTTTTTCAAAGGCAGTAAGTATCAGTAAGATATGGAGAAACTGGAACCTCCACCTGTGGGAATGTAAATGGTGTTGCTGTTGTGGAAAGACCTGGGCAATTCTCTCAAAAGCTAAACAGCTGATACATGACAGTACAGCATCTGCAATTCCCTGCCTAAGCATGTACCTCTGATGGTTTATGTTGAATGACAGCAGGACAGGACCTAGAATCCCCTAGGAGACAAACCTCTGGGCACATCTGTGAGGAAGTTTCTAGATTGGTCTAAATGAGAAAGGAGGATCCTCCCTAAATGTAGATGGTTCCTTCCTTTGAGTTGATGGTCTTGCAGTGTGTAAAAAGGAAACAGTGGAGGCTGGAGAGATGGCTCAGAGGTTAAGAGTGCTGACTGCTCTTCCAGAGGTCCTAAGTTCAATTCCCAGCAACCACATGATGGTTCACAACCATCTATAATGGGATCTGGTACCCTTTTCTGGTGTGCAGGCAGAACATTGTATACATAATGAATAAGTAAACTTTTTTTTAAAAAGAAGCAAATTAAAAGCTTCTCGATTTCTCATTCTTCTTCCATTGTCACCAACAGCTTTTCCATGCGTGAATCTATGTTCCATATGTATTTGTAAACTACACTTTATTTTTTCACGGTTCTATTTGAATATACCAGAGTTCTGCTTTATATGTAGTTTTGTATGTTAATGACATTGAGTCCCCTCTTTGCTTTCCTTTTTTCCAGTACTGGGTATGGAACCAGTGCCTCACACATACCAGACAGCTAAGACCCAGCCCAGCCCCACCCCCTCAGCATCTAGCCAACTCTATTATGTTTTGCATGGTTTGTAAGTTTTCCACCCAATGCCAGGTGTACACTTTATTGCTCCCCACCTTCCTCTTTGAGACTGGGTCTCTGGCTGAGCTTGGAGCTCACTGTTTAAGGTAATCTGGCTGGCCAGCAGACCCTCCAGAGCCACTTCCCAGCTCTGGGGTTACAGGCATGTGCCACCACACCCTGATTTTTACATGGGTGCTGGGATCTGAACTCAGTACTTCTTGCTTGCAGAGCAAGCAATTTACCCACTCTGCCATCTTGCCAGACCCCGAGGAGCACAAAAATAACTTCTCATGTATTTCCAGTTCAGATGATAAAATGAACATTTACATTATGTGTATGTAAGCTAGGAAATATCCATGGCATATTTTATTTAGGACAGGGTCTCACTGTATAGACCAGGCTGGCCTCTGCCTCCAGAGGAGTGGAATTTTAGGACTGGGCTAGCACACTCTACAGGGTATAGACTTGTTTGCTTTTGGTTCTGGTGATTGATTCCAGAGCCTCTTATCTCATAG